CCACCCAATCATTCGGGATACACCCACCCCCATTCCCACTCGGGTCAGAATCGATTGCCTCAGTCTAGCTATGCACATGAGTCCAATATGCAGAATGGTGGATCCAGTGGTAGTCACTCAATGTCGTCGAGTCGACACTTGCCTCCATTATCCCAAAGTCCCTCATACCCCGGCCCGCCCCGACAAGAGAACAACCTACCGCCACTTTCGCCTTACTCCCAGCGATCGTATGGGCCTTCGCAAAACTATCCTCATCCTCCTCTATCCCGCTCAGGCAGCGGGCAGCACCCACCTCCACCTGGGCGTCTACCACCCCAGTCGTATTCCTCTCAGCACCATCCACCTCAAGTACCTCCGCCGCTTTACCCACACCCATCTTCATCCTCACAAGGACATTGGGATCAAGGGCCTCCGAGACTTGAGCACCCTCAGCCTTCGAATCACCACCAAACACAGCGGCGTGAATCGATGGACATGAATATGAGTGCGGTGCGCCGGAAACCGAGCATGTCTGAAAGGGAACCAGCCACACCACCAGAGTTGCCTACATTGGTCTCGACTGTTCCACGTGAGTCAGAAGAGAGTGGACCACCTGCCAGTGACTTCGTGAAAAAACTCGCTCGGTAGGTTTTTTTAAGGCACTCCATGGTTAATTTCGGGACTGAAAGTTCCGTCATGCCCTTAATAGAATGCTGGACGACCAGTCATTCGCAGGAGTCGTATCATGGGGCCCCAAAGGCGATTGTTTCGTCGTCAAGGTAGGAGGGGTGGCTTGGCGCACGAAAGCATGCTGACCATAATGGCCAACTTAGGACATGACCGAGTTCACCAAGACCATTTTGCCCCGGATGTTCAAGCACTCCAATTTTGCCAGCTTCGTGAGGCAGCTGAACAAGTATGACTTCCACAAGATCAAGAACCCGGATGATACGTTTGGTGATCAAGTGAGCAGGACTTGCCAAGCAGCGTCGCAATGAGTAGGATTCTAAGATTGCTCTGAGCAGAGCTGGACATTCCATCATCCGGATTTCCAACGATCGAACCGCGAAGCTTTGGAGAACATCAAGAGGAAGGTACCTGCACAGAAGAAAGGTCCTCGGCCGAGCGCTGGTGGTGTACCGTCAGCTATCCCAGGACCGGCGTCCCCGCAAGATGGTGCACCCGCGCCATCCGTGATCGAGAGGAATGATGCAAGCGCTTCCAACAATGCGCTCCTGCAGGCCCAGATCGATCAGCTTTTGCGCTGTCAGGAGGACATGACCGCACGCCTCGCGACTGCAGAGCGCAACTATCAGAATGTCTTGAACGAGATGGTGGCATTCCAGAGGGGCATGGCGGCGCAGGATTCATTGATGCAGACCTTGATCTCGCACTTCATAGACTCTGGTGCGTTTGAAAATGAATTATCGCTGCAATGTCATTGCTAATATGTTTTCATTGCAGCGAAACCTGGCAGCGAAGGCGCTGGCAAGAACATGTCCACATTTGATGGCCGGAGTAATCTATCGCGTCTCGCGACTCTTGCCAGCATGGGCTACCCTGGTAGTACGGCATCCATCGACTCAAATACAACACTTGTAAACCCCGCGTCGCCTCCGGACCTTTCACCCGTGGAGAAGTCCATACTTGTACGACAAGAAACCGCTCAGCGATTGGACGAGCTACGACGAGGGCGAGACCCTGGCGCCCAACCCGGCTCCAATGAAGCGGCGTCGTCTGCGCAGTCAACCGCACCTTACATGACATCCCTCAACCCAGCCGCTGCCGCAGCTACCGCCCCCATGCAGTCGGCACGAACGGAAATTGATCCGAGATCGGGAATGAGGGTGTTCTCTGCGAACGGGCAGATCGTCCCCAGCTCGATGCAGGATGGAAATGTGAACATGGCGATCTCAAATGGAGTGGTCCCCGTGAATGGAACGTCGTCATCCAGCAGTTCGCAGCAGCAGCAACAGCAGCAGCAACAGCAACAGCACCAGGCCCAACAAGTGGCAAACCAGCAACAGTGGACTTTCCCCGAGGATCAGATGGATACTGGTGCGGGTGATATGGATGACGGGCCTACAGAGGCTGGTCCTTCGAATTACGCTCCGAACCCGAGCGCAGGGCCGAGTATGGCGCTCGACCTGGGTGCGTCGTTGCTGGATTCGCCTGGTGGATCGCGTATCCGTCTTCGTGGCAAGGTCGCCTCCGCGCCTGGATGGGCGGTCCCTCCGAGGGTCTTGCTTGTGGATGACGATCTGGTTAGCAGGAAGCTGTTCAGCAAGTTCTTGCAGGTCTCTGGGTGTACGATCGATGTAGCCGTTGACGGAATTGGTGCTGTGAACAAGATGAATTTGGAGAAGTATGACCTTGTGCTCATGGTGAGTCTCCTTCGTTCCAATTTTTGGGGTCTGGCCACCTCTGCTAACGACCGTCGTCTTGACGATCTCTTAGGACATTGTTATGCCTAAGCTAGATGGCGTGTCGGCGACTTCCCTCATTCGACAGTTCGATCACATGACCCCCATTATCTCCATGACTAGTAATTCGAAACCCAATGACGTCGTGACATACTACTCGAGCGGCATGAACGATATCCTTCCCAAGCCGTTTACTAGGGAGAACCTATTCACCATGCTCGAGGTACGTGTTTGAACCTTTCCAGTTCCTGGAAATTACATCGTCTAACATCTTACTGTTTTGCAGAGACATCTCGGACATCTGAAAGCGATTCAGCAACTCACTAAGCCGGGTTTCGAGGAGCTCGCAGCCGCCGCCACACAGAGTGCGACCATGGCGCTCACCGAAGACCAATACTCGGCGATGTTATCGGGATTGCTCGGGATGAGCGGCGAAGGCGATGGCTTCGCTGCCTTGGCCCCTGGTACCGTCATGATGGGAGATATCGGGATGCAGAAGCGCAGTTTGGATGCTATGGACGACGAGAGGGAGGTGAAGCGGCCACGGTTCGAGGTGGTGGAATAGCCAACGACCCTTTATGTCTCCCCCTCACCCATCCATCCGACCCCTATCTCGTCCCCCTGTCCCTTCATCGCCTTGGGTCTGATACCCTTTTCGTTTTACCGGCTTTCATCCTCATGCAATTCACGCTTTGTTTTCAGCGCCCATTTGAAGCCTTTTCCTATTCATACCAATGATTGTTTCACACCATGCTTATTCCTTTTTTGCAATTACGGGTTATCATGTATCGTTGTCGTCTTCATTACTTGATATATCAATTACTGTGAGTTCCATGACTGTGAATCCCCGTTCTTCTGGTGGTGGGTGTAAATCTTTTCTTGGAAGAAGTTGGTATATCATGTATACGGACAGCATGCTTCTTTGAGCCAGGATGAAAGACGAACTCTCGCGGAGGTCGAAGCCCACGAAGCTCTGGTAGCGCTTTGGATCAACAAACACAACATGGGCTGCGGCTAATGTGGTAGCGAAATTGATATCCTTGGGATCATTTTTGAATGGCTAGGACGGATCTCTGAAGATGACATAATAGTGTTTGAAATATGATATCGGTAGCGATAGCCCACAGGGCACCTATATTGGAGATTAACGGGGTGTTGTTGGTGACGGCAATGGCGTCGCCTGCGTTTGATGCGGTTCCTGCCATGAAGATCGCCGTGCGTGCATGAAGTCCATGTGTCGCTCGTCCAGTTCGTCGTTGCACGGGATCCCTCAGCGAAGGAATGGAACGACGGAGATGAAAACGATGTATGTGGGGAATATAAGGAGGGGGAGCGCAAGTGCAGCGAGAAAGAGATAAAGGAGGATGCCGATGATGAATCCAACCCAGTCCCGGAATCGATGAACCATTCAGTGATAAAGCCATTGCGTGACCAATCTGAGACGATTCTAGTGCTGGATCACATGATAGGGCCATCCCAGTGCGATCGTCCAGTACATATTGGGAAGATTGTAGCGAGGACAACTAGGACAATATAGAGTAAGCCTCCCGCAGCTGCGAGCGGCAGCACAATGATGGCCACAGTTTGTTTATTTTCCGTAGTCGATAGTGGCGATGAAGAAGAACGCGAGTGAGACAGAGGCAAGGTGGCAAAGGTTTCTACCATTGGTCGCGAGACCTCGATGTCCACTTTATGGTGTTCGCGATCATTGATAGTGGGAAAGTAAAATAAGCCAATTCATCGTTCAGACTGGTCTCCTCTCCACCGCTATTGTCATCGCTTTCAACGCATTATGGTAAGCGCCAATCCTGTCGATGAAGCCGGCCACCTCCGACTGCTCGTCATGAACGCCGGGTTATACACCCTTACAGAGCGATATCTCGGACCGCCCTTTGCCCCAGGATGAGCCACCCTTCGCATCTGTGTTGTAGCCTAGTCGCTGTCCTAGGTGCTGTCCTAGCAAAGCAGTGGCTTCAGTCCTACGAGCGGACTGGGCGGACTGGACCAATAGCCCAGCAGGTCACTGAGAATAGAGAAGTTCATCGTAGCGGAGAACTAACTGGGGATTGTGGCTCCAAACCTTGTGAAAGTACTCAATTTAGGTACCACTGAGGTAGAATTGGAGTTGCAGCGGTCTTTCGAGCTGTTATGTAGGGTAAGCATAAACCTCAAAGAAATACCGCCGTCTTCAATTACATCTTGTGTAATATTGAACTTGGCTGAAACCATCAACGTGCTAGCTTTCGCTCAGATGCAAAATCTATTCGCTTACTCTGACTGACGGCTACCGCTAGGCCATTGTCGTCTTTCATAATGCACATAGAGCCTATTTCACTTCCCGGTATGTGGGCCTGATGCTGGAGTTGCTGGAGTTACTCTCCGCTCCTCCACGATTGCGTTGATCTGGATAGAGTAGGACGTCAGGGAGGTACATGCCTCAAGCACTCAACACTACCCGGGCACATCTTTGACGGACCGGTCATCCATTAAGTAATCTTGAGGCGTGTACAGATAGATGAGAGATTATTGAACCTAGAATTAGCCTTCGGTCAGCCTAACCGCGACCATAGTAACGGCACCCCATCCGAAACAAAAAGCTTCCTCCTGCCAGGATTGAACTGGCGGCAGCTGCATCTCGAACGGTCGACGAATCGATCAGACAAGCTGAAGTTTTCCCATAAGTACAGAACTCTACCACTGAGTTAAGGAGGATTCCATCACACTCGCACATTCCAACGGTTTTTAGCAACCAAGGGGCTGTCCGACTTACTTAGTGGCAAAATATTAGATATAATGGGGCAGATAGCCAGGCCATCATCGCACCCGTATTGCAAACCATTAGCTTTGCACTTGAGTGATGCCGATGGCGCTTAACTAACCACTCAGGGAAGTCAATTGAACAGCGTCCCTATCTACTGTTAGGAATTTGGAGAGACGCGTCTCCGGCACCACCCATCTCAAAGAATCTAGCTATGCAGGCTGCTGTATGGCCACTCACTGGCCAGGTATGTCGCTCCTATTATCACTGGGTCATAATCGGTGCTCATGAGCCTGTTAGACTGCTTCTCAGCTTGTGAATAGCTGGCCGGTTGCGACCATTCACTCGTTCGTATCCCGACTGAAGTCAATACCATCAATATCTACTCGGCAATTGTCCAACGATGCTTCACCTTCTCATCGGGTAATCTCCCCGTCTATACCTATTTTTAACCTGACTGACTTGTCAATATTTCAGAGATCTAGCCTCCCTATCCCCAGCCCATTCGCGACCATTTCACCTCGACATATCTACAATAATGTTAACCACATAGCGGCCTACGCATCAACTTCGACTACCTCATTGTCCGCACAGTCGATCATATTTCCGTTCCTTCCCAAATCACCGGTCCAGGCTCGGAAGACTTTCCTCACTCCTTACCTCCGTGCGTCAGGAATAACATTCGCAGCCAATCGACCGTCGTTCAGCATACCCCGGAATGCCCACACATATGCCTATAAATCCATCCCGTCATCCCGCCGTGCCTTCTCCCTCCTCAACCGGAGCGCGGGGCCGACACCTAGCGTCGCATCCCTTGCGACCATAAAGGTCCTGGAATCCGAAGTCGCACAGAACCCAAAGGATCTAAAGGCACATTTAGCACTGCTCAATGCTCTCAGTGAGACCAAGCATACATACGGTGCCGAGACAATCATCAGTCGCTGGGAGCGCATGTCTGAATTCGTGAGTATTTGTACATACGCTATGTCTATCGTCTTGCTCAAGCGCATATCACTTTAAAACAGGACCCGTCGTCACCGCTTCTTCACTCTGACGCGGCATTCGAGCTATATTTGAAGGCGCTGCATTTTACGAACCAGACTGCATCAGTCCCTCACGCGGTAAAGCGAAGGGAGACACTGATGGCATCGCACCCCTTAATCGTCGACCCTCCTTCCACCGAAGTGCCATCGCCCGCTGCGCCCGCATCCCGGTCCCAACAAATCGCCGACAAGATCATGTTGAGCAGCCTTGCTATCAAGCCCAGCCTTAAATCTGGGTTCAATCGCCTCCTCATGGGCGATGCCGCCATGCGCACTGATATCGCTGACGGGAGGCAAGAGCCTATTCGCGTTGTATTGGAAGAGAGTGAGATTGGGTTGGCCGGGTCCTTCTTAATCCTAAGTCTGACGTTTGGTTTGCAGGCAGAGGAAATATCATTTGGCGTTTAGCCCGCTTCGTCATTTTGACCATTGTCCTGGGATTTGGTCAGTTGCTAGGTTGCAGTTCATTGAAGCTGAGGTAATTATTGATCCACCCCCAACTCGTAGTCGGGCTCACAGTGTTGTCCTTGATGCTGGAGAACTCTGGCCTCATGAAAGCTGGTCCCACTCAGAAGGAGTGGGAGGCATCCACGTCCAAGACTGTCAAATTTAGCGACGTTCACGGTGTGGATGAGGCGAAAGAAGTAAGTACTGACACATGCAGGTGCAAAGGCAAGCTGCTGAATGTCGTGATCTGCAGGACTTGGAAGAGATTGTCGAGTTTCTCAAGGACCCAACCAAGTTCTCCAGTCTCGGTGGTCGATTACCAAAGGGTGTTCTTCTCACAGGTCCTCCCGGAACGGGCAAAACCATGCTGGCCAAAGCTGTCGCAGGGGAGGCGGGGGTTCCATTCCTCTTCGCATCTGGGTACGTCAGCTTAACACGGTCACCAAGCCTTCCGCTCAAGTTAGTCACTATCCAGATCCGAATTCGACGAGATCTTCGTTGGCACAGGCGCGAAGCGCGTGCGTGAGCTCTTTGCCGCCGCACGAAAGAAGCAGCCTGCCATCATTTTCATTGATGAGCTGGACGCTATCGGGAGCAAGAGGAGCGCCAAGGATCAGCATTATATGAAACAGGTGAGCTTATGATAATCATTCTAGTGATTTCGTGACAGTCTAACAAGTCATCCGCTTGCTTGATAGACCCTCAACCAACTTCTGGTTGAGCTTGACGGCTTTAAAGAAAGTGGTGCGTTTCTTCTTGCGTCACCTTGAGGTTTTGATGGACGATGCATGCCAATCCTCTTTTGAACAGAGGGTGTGATTGTCATCGCTGCAACCAACTTCCCGCAATCATTGGACCAGTAAGTCGAAGCTCGAGTTGTATACCAACATGATCATATCGCTTGACTCACACTTAACTCTAAGGGCCTTGGTCCGACCTGGGCGTTTCGACAAGAAGGTTATCGTTCCACTACCGGATGTGAAGGGCCGTGCCCAAATCCTTATACACCACATGCGTGATATTCTATCGGACATTACTGTGGACCCGACAATTATCGCCCGGGGCACCACTGGATTCTCTGGTGCAGATTTACAGAACCTTGTTAACCAAGTGAGGAGAGGTGTGGTCCAGCTCATACTGATCGACCATGGCTGATCTTCTATCCCGTCGCCGTAGGCAGCGATCCAAGCGTCGCGTGAGCGCGCAAAACATGTCACCCTCAAACACTTTGAGTGGGCCAAGGTACATACTACTGAGGCTTTAAGACTGGCTATATACTAACGTGGGGATCTATCCAACGATAACTATAGGACAAAATCTTGATGGGAGCCGAGCGTAAATCAGCCGTGATCACTGAGAAGGAGAAGCGGATGACGGCGTACCATGAAAGTGGCCATGCCTTAGTCGCGCTTTATACGGAAGGTGCCACTCCTCTACATAAGGTCACTTGTATGCCAAGGGGGCACGCACTTGGGGTGGTAAGTAGTAACTACATTGAAACTTGTCATGTATGTGCTGACAGTGTATTTGCTTCCATCGCAGACTCAATTCTTGCCCAGTGAAGACAGAGTATCAAGGACGTTCAAGGAGTATTGTGCGGAGCTCGATGTGGCTATGGGAGGTCGTGTAGCGGAAGAGATCAGTGAGCACAAATTGGCAGTCGCCTTCCTTGGCCTATCCTGACAGATCACAAACTCAGTATACGGCAAGGAAAACATCACCAGCGGTGCATCGAGTGATATCCAGAACGCCACGAACACCGCTACTGGGATGGTCCGGGTAAGCATTGATCTCGATTGCCGCTTCCAACGCTGTTGGGTTCCATTTTTATTTCTGACTTCATTCTATTGTACCTACAGTACTGGGGCTACTCAGATAAGCTGGGGCCTGTTCACTTTGGCGATCATACAAGCCCACAAATGAACGGACAGATCGACAATGAGATTCGGAGGTGAGAGCCGCGAATGATTAAGGGTCATTATATCCGAGGCTTTGATATCTGACTACGTTGGCTTCCTGAAGGATGTTGGAGGAGAGTATGGCCCGCACAAGGAAGTTGCTCACGGAGCGAAAGGCCGACCTTCACAAGGTATGCTTGATCGCGCTCTTACTCGATAAAAGACACCTGGCGCTGAGAATGCGACATTCATAGCTAACGGATGCATTAGTGGAATATGAGACTCTGGACCGCTCGGTAAGCCTCTTACGAAGCCTTTGGTTATCCCTTGGACGCTCATTTGTTACAACAGGAAGTCGAGGCGCTGCTCAAAGGACAGAAGATTCGGCAGGATGATCGCGAACTTGAGAAGATTCGCGAGGAACTGGGATTGCCGGAGCCTTCGCCAGAGGATGTGGCAGCGATTACAAAGCTTCCGTAGCATCGTTGACTCTCAGTTTTTCGCATGCGATATCTTTGTCTGCACTTGTATCACGAGTAGAGGAATTTTATTATCCCTACCCAATCTCATTAATTTCTACCAATCAGAACTATTGGTCCTGCCATTCGTAAGAGCCTATGAGTGCGGTACGCCCGACTAGGGACCCGGGATTTGGTGAGAGGATCGTCATCCGTTGTTTGAATGTATCCACCGCCGCGCTGTCGAGTCAGAAAAAGAGGGGTGAAGGTCTGCATCAACATTGTGTGTTACAGAGATGGGAGATGGATGCTACTTACACCAGAATGAAACCGACGACGTTGGACGAGATGAGGTCCTCATCGCTCAAACCCTCGTCTTCCTCCTGCTTGCCGGCGCTGCCTTGACTGGGTGAGGATAGAAGGGCCAGGACCATATGCAGTAGTCCAGGGGCGGACGGGTCGATGGCGACAGGTTCGAGCTCGGTAATGACGCGCGATGCTCCAATGGGAAGTGCAGACGATGGCGCCATCGACTCTAAACAAACGGGAATGAATCTTCAGCACCAAACACCAGCCTTGAGAAGGTCATAGGTGACGTATTTTGATTCGCACCTGCTCCGATGCGGAAGATCTTGATATCACCGAACTTGACGGTCATGGAATATGGAGAGAGGTTGAGGTCTATGGACGCTTCTCCACCGATGGCGCTCGGGTCGAGCCAGTCGGGGACGTGTACGGAGGGTCCATAGAAGTAGCTTCGGGTTTGGTGGGAGAGGATCCTGGTGCGATAAGCGTAATCTAGGTCGACCACCTAAAATAAATTTCGATGTCATCTCAGGTGGTAGGAGAGGGGATGGACGGACAGAATGAAACTCACTCCTCCTGATTTGGGGATCTTGACGACAGTGACGTTTCGGTGATAGTTTGAACCGGAGAAGATTTTTTGAATCTCGACGTTGAGCTTTTCATGCCCGATGACTAGGACGACGTTCACTAAAGGTAACAAAGTTCAGCGGTTTTGTTTCTCTGAATACGCACAAGCCAAGTTATCAACCCACCGTTGAATAACTCTACACATCTCTCGATCAGTGGGTACTTCATCTCACTC